TGCTGCTAACACGTGCGCACATATAACTTTTGTTAGATCTTAACGATCTTAATGAAATTTTCGACAGTACATCTTATTGTAGAATAGAATAAAGAATATTTGTGTATTCTCAAAAATTCAATTGCATATAAATTGTGGCTTGAATTGAAGGGCAATACAAGTTGGATAATTAACTTGATTTATAGCTTTATGGTGGTAGCGGGGAGGTGGCGATAGGTATAAAATGTAAGATAGGACTTATAGGTTTTGAGATCCTTGCGTTCATACATACGGACGGACGGACAGACAGACGGACATGGCTATTGATGCTGATCAAGAATATATATACTTTATGGGGTGGGAGATGCTTCCTTCTGCCTGTTACATACATTTGCACAAATACATAATACCCCTTTTACCCATTTTCAATGGGTTCAGGGTATAAAAATAAATGAATAATAAAAAAACAGGGCAAATGTATAAAGGAGATATGTACTTATTTGTATGCACATAGAGAATATATAGAAATATATCCGACCACTAAGACTGCAATATCCGGAGGCACCAAATTAGACAGGTATACCTTAAATTTTGATCAAGCGAACGTTCGCCATTTTCTAAAAATCGTTTAAAATCGATTTCCATCCAGTTATTTAGCTTATATCTCGAATTTTTAACTATTTTTCACATTTGAAGATGGCATTGTAGGTAATAGTACAAAATGATATATGCCTCTTGGAAGGAAGTCATCTTCGACCTCATAATGACCTCTATTCCTGATCGAATATAGATATATACAGAAGCGTAATTGTAGTAGCCGCATATTCGGAATTTTGTATGATTTATTTTTGGAGATTTATATTATACAGCTGTAAAAATTAAGATCCGATTTTGTGTAAACTTATTGCAATTAAAACTTGTGCTTACGGAGAAGAGCTCAGAAATAAACATAATAATAAATTACCCGCCGCTTTACATAACATCACTTTTATAGAAAGCGGTTTTCATTATTTGGTAGCTACCCCATCTGAAGTTGATCAGGAGCGAGACTCAGTGAGGCAGGCAGGATGGAAGGCTGGCAGGCAGGCAGGCAGGCAGGCTAGCTGGGATTTGATTGTGTTATTCAATTATTAGTATGGCACCATTGTTAAGGATCATAATGCCATGTAATCCGCAAGCAGCTCTTAAGTGCATGCCTTTTATTTACGCTGCTGGTTCCCATTAGATCCGACCAGTCGACCATTAGCAGAGCCCTCCTTAAGCGGCCAACCACCGCGAAGCCCTCTTCGAGCAGAAACACACTGGATGAAACGATGAGGGAAATTTGGCAGAAAGAATGGATGCTGTAATCGAGCATACACACGACTCGACACGACCAAAAAAATCATCGCATCATGTGCAATTATTATTTCATAATTTGTTTGAATTTCGCTTTTGAGGTGAAGGGTGAGAAAGTCAATAGCTTGCGGTTGGGTTACTCCGCTGTTGCTCGGCTGTTGCTCGGTTGTTTCGGTTTCGGACTCTGATCCACTAATTGTTATATGCCCTTTGTTCAATAAAACTCGATAGGCAAAGGGCATAATGAACTTGTGCAAATTTATGTAACAGGCTGAAGAGAACGGGCGGACGCTCTCCAGGTCCAAAAATCAAATATGTTATATCCTAGATTAGGAGAAGAAATTAACTCGACTCGATAAATGACTGTGAGACTTGCTAACACACAAAAAAATTATTAGCGGAATACCCTTAACTTTTGACACATTTACGGAATTTAATCCCTACCGAACAGGGTATTTTCTAGTCAGACATTCTCGACTTGGACGCTTTTTTATTGCTTGTTTACACATTTGGGAGGCTTATCGCATTCAACCATGACTGATAAACTACATGCATAATAATGAGTAACAATGAATTAGGATGTTTTTCTTTTAACGCGAATCCCGATGCAACGTACTGCATCCCACCTCCCGCCCAACCGACCGTGTGTACAAATACAATTACAAATAAAAATAAAAACTATCTACTTGCTAAATAGTTTAGAATAGAAGACTTTATACGAGGAAGAGAAGCATCCGAGCAGAATACTCTGTAATGCTTGTTATAGTCATCAAGGCATAATTAGTTGAGCAAAATTGAGGCGATAGAGGTACAAAATTACGTGTAAGTTTAGTAGGAATGGGAAATTTAATTGGCTAGTCAACACAGAAGAGTCGATCTCACCAGTAATTAATTTATGAATAAATATTACACCCAGCATGGTTCTACGATTAATCAAAGAAGGAAGGTTAAACATCAGAAATCTGCTGGAGTATGACGGATGACCGCACACGAGGATCCCAATTTAAACCACGAAGGGCAAACAACAAGAATTGTTTCTGAAAGGATTCAATTCTGTCCTGATTGGTAGCATATTGTGGTGGCCAGATAAATGAGGCATACTCAAGAATAGGTACGACCAAAGATATATAAAGTGTTTTTGTCGTGATCCGTACACGTCAAACTCCTTCGACCATCGCTTGATGAAACCCATAACTATTCTGGCCTGATTGACCACGGTATTAACAAGAGAGTCGAATTTAAGTTTATGATCAAGGATGACACCTAGATCATTAACTTCATTAGAAGTACTATTAACACGCTCGAGCGGTATGCTATCAAGGATGCTTTCAACTTCAAAATGACTTAAAGACAATTGGGTTGCCAACATCAAGAGTTTGGTCCCAAAAAGTCGCTTTTAAACTATGTTTACAGGGAATCGCAATATGCTTTCTATTTGTGGGCTCAACCAATATAATTCTCGATCTTTCATCCGCAGTCTACGTACCAAGTTTTGTTTAGGAGTATATTTTCGCTAAACAAATTTTAAAACTATGTCTTACTCAGAAATAAATCCCTGAGTTCAAGTTTCTAGCTTCTAGCTTCTTGGGAAATTCCACCCGAGGCTGTGAAAAACGTTCGTATGAAAGTTTTTTGCTTAACATTCGGACGGCTTTGAGCTTATTCTCAAATATCTTTCCGAAAATTCATCTGAGGCGTTCTTATTTTTCTTTCCGGAAAATTCATTCCTCATTGCTTTAAATTAATATCCAAAGCTATTTATGAAAATTGATTTGAGACGTGTTTCACACGCAGAATCCAAGCTTCCTCGTCCGATCGACCTCAAACTTATTTTCACTACTTAACGAGAAAGAAGAGCTATCTTCGGCTCGTCGAAGATTTAATACCCTTGCAGGCCCAACCTTTTCAGGGACCCAACCAAGCACAGGGAAAATAGTCGTATGGTTGAGACATCTTGAACAACAAGAAAGTTTTCATACAATTTAACTTTTGACCGATCGTTTCTATGGAAGCTATATGATTAAGTAGTCCGATGTAAATAAGATTTTGCATAAATGTAGGAAACAAACTACAACTAATAAATGCAGAGTTTGGTCATGATATCTAGATAAACAGAAAAGTTTTTCATACAAGAACCTACTTTTCGACCGATCATTCCTATGGCAGCTATATGATATAGTAGTCCGATGTAAATAAGATTTTGCATAAATGGATGGAGCATGGTAAAACTAATAAATGCAGAGTTTGGTCAAGATATCTAGATAAACAGAAAAGTTTTTCATACAAGAATGATATAGTAGTCCGATCCAGCCGGCTCCGAGACTAGTTCGCATAGAAACAGAGAGACGGACAGACGGACATGGCTATATCGACTCGGCTGTTGATACTGATCAAGAATATATATACCTTATCCGGTCGGAGATATCTCCTTCTATGCGTTAAACATTTCACGACAAAATAATAATAATACGATTCATAAAACGTTAACATTTGACACGGACGGGAACTGATTGAATAAGTAATATCGTAAACTTCTAGCACAAAACTTGACACGGGCAAGGACGGGTAATATCCGCTAGCCAAGGTTGGTGTATCTAGCTCTTATTATATTTGATTAATGCTTTTTAAACGCAGCATCAAAATAAATGTTTAGCGTGCTACGTATGGTATATGTAGAATATATGTATATTTCAAATTGCTCTTTCTTTCGTAAAATTCTTTATACCCTTTTCTAACCGATCTCAGTGATTTCAGGGCATAAAAAGATGATGCCACAAGTTGTGGCTTAATTAGAATCATTCTGCTGCAATCAATTCGTGAAATAAATCAATGATGTTGTAAACACAGAAAAGGATTCCAATATGACCCCAGCAATAAGTTATATTTATATATAACATGAAAGCTCATTAAACTCTTAACAGAAATGAAGTACGCCCGGGTATATATGGTCACATTTTAATGCCATGCTTAAGTCCTTAAAACTTCGTAAAAATCGATATGCATATAAAATAATATATACAATTTATTTATTAAAAAAAAATATATATATTTCATTCTAGCTACTTAAGAAAATACTTCGATATACATATAAAATAATATATACAATTTATTTATTTCAAAAAAAAATTGTATATTCCATTCCAGCTATTTAAGAAAATACTTGAGACAATGATTGCAATTTTCCACACAATTGCCAAGTGATTATCATATTCATGTCATTTTGGATTCACGACTTCGACTACATTTGCATTTTAATAGGCGAAAAGCGTTCAATTGGATTAATGTCAGAGTCTTCAAACTTAAATGCTTTTCGGTCTTAGTGCGGCAAGGATACTTATTATACCCTGCACCCTTGAGCACAAACGAGGCTCGATTCAGTTGAAAACTGAATTGGCATATCTGCCAAATATAAGCCATATCTTACTACTATATCATATTACTTTTTTAGAAATTAAAATATTTCGTACAGGAACACACACTTATATATCTACCCTTCATTCTTCCTTTAAAATATCTTGTGTGCTCTTTGTGGACAAAGAGGGCGAGTTCTCGTCACGAATATGTTTATTTAATAGTGTCTGGGATTTTTACTTTACTTTTTAATACCCTAATCAGTCTTTAAATGGGTACAGGGTATCCAGAGCGTACATTTCAAAAATTAACCACATATTATGTTGACTTACCTATTGCTTTAGGATCCAGCTGATAGGGAGGTATTCCACAATGTGCAGGCGGTGGTGTTGAAAGTGGATCTCCGTTGTGACAGAAGAAGGGAGGTAATCCAATTTTATTTGCCTAGAAATAAATAACAATGTAATTAGATGGAATTCGATCTATTCAAAGCGTTGTAATTACAAAAAAAATTAGATAAATACAAATACAAACAATACAAAGAACAAGAAGAACGTAAATGCCGAGTTTGTTGATCATTTCTTAGAAAACCGAATATTTTGCCATATAAGAACCAACTTTTCATCCGATCGTTCCTATGGCAGCATTGTGATATAGTGCACTGATGCTGATTAGGTTCTGTATATATACGAGAAGCATAGTTTCACAATGAATGCAAATTTGGCTGAGATATATTTTGATAAAGTTGTAGCTTTAAAACTGAGAGATCCAGAGAGAGATTTGATCTAGAATATATATATATATACCTTTTGGTGTTGGAGATGTTTCCTTCTACGAGTTACACATTTCATGACAAAATTACAATATCCTCTACAAGAGTATAAAAAGGCGCTAGACAAAGTGTCCAGATAGGATATAACCTGTATCCATTGCCAAATACAGGATTATGAAAATTTCAGGTCTTAAACACAACTAGATTTCAACAAACCAAATACCTATGCGAAAAGAGAAACCTCTTAAAAAACAATCAGAATTTATCCAATCTGAAAATGCACGTGGATTCATAAAGAAGTAGAATCGAGAGACAATAAACATTCCTCATCATCTCAGCATCTCTAACAAGAACGATTTAACTCCTTGTACTCATACATTTGCAGAACATTGCGTCAGAATTACTATTCATACAGAGACGAAAGGTCGTTGAACTTTCGTTGACCTTCGTGCGCCTACGTTAACCTCCCAACAGGAGCAATGCGGCAAAAAGCAAATAAAGAGTGAGTGGGACTCCAACAGGGAAGCGGACAACTGGTAAACAGCCGACAGGCGACCCATTACATCACAGCAGCTGCTTGATTATTTGGTTATCAAAAAAGTCTATTACCTCCCCAAAAAAAAAAACAATAAAACAACATATATGTGTGTAACAACTGATAACATATTATTATTGTTATTATTTGATGCAGGCATAAAAATGTAGTCTAATAGCTTTTCGTCTAAAAACATAATCAAATTTTCATTTAAAACAAGTAAGAGACTCTAGTCGGGAGGAGCGCCTGAATGTGTGTGTGCGTACACGTATACAGAAATTCTTGCAATTTGCGCTAGCTGCCTCAACCATGTGCGCAGCCAAAACACACATTCTTTAATAACTTTTGTGTTTCTTAACCGATCTTGATGAAATTTTTAACAGTAGATCTTATTGTACTATAGAATATTTGTTTATTCTCAAAACGTCAACTGCGAATAAATGAATACGGCTCTGGCTTTAAAAATAATTATTTTGGCGGGAACAAGCGGAGAAAGTGAAATATTTCTCTTATAGTGTCTAGATTTTATAGTTTTCCAAAAATGCTTTTAAAATCAAATCCCAAACTCAATTTTTATCGATATCTGGCAAATGGGATGAAAGCGTGACAGAAACTAACAAACTCGTTTTGCGTATGGTATGGGAGAATATATGTACGTATGTTTCAAATTTCAAGGCATTTTCAACATATGGACAAATGGAGTCGGATATAATATTTGAACGAACCATGTTAAAAGTTAAAAAAAAAAACTAATAGGTGTTCTATTAGTCTGTCGCAATCGCACATAAATCGAGTACGATCAAATATATATATATTTTTACATATATACACATAGGAATTAAAAAAGATTTTGTAATCTGTAGCTTTGAGTTCTTGAAACTTTTTATATTTTATTCAACGCTCCATAATTATAAAACATATGCGAGCACACATAAAAACCATTGCCTTACCACACACACACACACACACCCGCGCTACCCATGTGTACGTTCAACACACTCGTGTGCTCGTATACATACATACACACATACACACACACACATACCTACATACATGTATGCATATTTGTAAGTTTGCTTCGCATTATCACTGATGTTGTTGTCGCCGTCGTACTTGTTGTGGCTTGATGAATAAAAAACTACAATAACAACATGCAAACAACAACAACGAAAACGAAAACAACAAAAACAACAACAACAATAATAATAATAACAAGCAGCAGCGGCTACAAAGCAAGCGAGTCAGCGAAACCGAAAATATGCCTTTGATGTTGCCGCCGCTAAACGAATATAAAAAGTGCCGCCAACGCCGCGCGGCTTTCCCACTGTTTCAAGCGCCCCGTCCCCCCCGCCACCCTCCTTCTCGACGGTACCTCTGTACCCCCCTCCATCCCTCCCTCTGCCTCACCCACCCACCGCCACCGCCCATGGAGCTGCCGATAAACGCATGTGTGTTGATTCAACGTCTGTTTGCCGTTTCTTTCTTTTTTTTGTTTTTTTTTTGCGTCATTTGCAATGTGGTTGTTTTGCCCTATAATCTGTATCCACTGAAAATGGATAAAATGGGGTGTATTACAGATAAAATAGGGTGTACTATAGTGTGTACTAATCGAAAAGATAATTTTTTGGATACCTCCCGACAAGCTAGAGCCTTTTGGAGCTACCTCCTCGTGATTCGGCCTATGCACACACATTCGAATATCATTTGAATGCCCTTCAAATTTCATGAAGATCGAACAACAAAGACGACAGAAGCTATTCAACAATAAATCAAAGCACCTGCCAAACTATATTACTGAGGATTTTGTAGTAGAAATATTCTGGATCAACTTTTAAAAATCGATATTCAAATTAAATTTAAATTTTCACTGCAGTTAAAAGGTGGTTTCGGGAAATTCCACACAGCATGCGTGGAAAAATCGAGAAAATCGTTTTTATGAAAATTTTTGTTTGCCATTCATTCGATCGGTCTCAAACTAATTTTCAAAGATCTTTTTTCAAATTCATTTGAGGCGTGTTTCACAGTTTGCGAGAAATCCATTCCTCCTTAGTGGAAATGGAGGTCAACGATTTGGTGGGCGAAAAGATTTTTTGAGGGCAGCTTTAAGTTTCGTCCGATTGGCCTAAAAATTACATTCAAGGCCCTACAAAAGAACTTAAGAAATACGTGTTTCAACGATTTTCCAAATTCCATTTGAGACTTTGTTAAAATGCCGATTAATGATTCTATGAGAGTTTATTGGTTAACACACGTTCGGCTTTAAAATCAAATTCAAATGTTCCCTTCGGATATGATAAATGCGAATTTTACTCGCTAGTACATATAGATTCTATATATACACATTCTGCTTGTTACATACAGAATGTAACTTGAGTCACAGACACACATTTACATCTTTGAGGCATCTTTAAGCTATACATAACTCCAATCTTGATCAACATCAAACGGAAGAATCAATTAAATCTACGTTCTCGATCATGGTATTATAAGCTAAAGTTAAATTCTTATGTGTCCTCTCATAAATAAACCCGAAATGAATACCGAATATTAGTATAAAGCATTTTCATAAAGGATTTTCAAATTTAATTTCCCTTCCTAAAAAGTTTTAAGTTTTTACATATAAGCTACTTTTCTTGTGGGCTCAGCGCATTAAATATATTCTTAAGGTCAATCCACCAGGTACAATTATTTGTTTTTTTTTTGTATTTTTAAATCGAGGCAAGGAAATGGGACTCATCAGAGAAAATGAATTTATTTAGACGATGCTGTAAGATTGAAATTGGACGCCATTGTCTAAAAGTGAACTGCAGCGGAAGATTTGGGGGTTGTTTTTTGGTCTCTCATTAAAAAGGCACATCAGGAATTGAGCACTCGGCACTTTTGGGGGGTTGTTGCTTGTTGCTCCTGTTTAGGATTTGTAGTTGTGGTAGTCGGCGCGCTTTTTAGATTGCTTCCTGGAAAGGGTCTCTCTCTATGTGTGTGTGTGTGTGTGTGTGTGTGTGTGTGTGTGTGTGTGTGTAGTGGATGTAAGTCCGTTGATTATGTTTACATACGTTAGTTAGAAAGAGAGCGAGAGAGTGAGAGAGAGAGAGAGTCCGTGTTTGTGTGTACAACGAGAAAGCCTGAAAGTTCTACCACCAAAGCACAGCGAACCGATAGCTGCCGACATCAGATACGGCCCAAGAGGGTGGAGCAAAATGCGTTCCATACTTTGGGGGTGTTGCACTGCGCTCTAGACGTTGATTAAAGAGATTTCAATTGAAATATTTTTAATGCACCAAAAATAAAAAAAATGTGAAGCAATCGCTACGGGATGTTTTTCCTTGGTTTTTTTTCTTTTTTAAACTTTGAATTCCTTTTAGCTTTTCTGTAATCTGTTTACGGGCAAAATCGATTTAGTTAAACACATAATTACATGGATTATCTATGCATAAGTATTTGATACATTGCTAAATGTTATTTCTCAACACACAAACATAAAACTCTATTAAAATTAAGTTTATTCTAGCTAATAACAAAGAACGAGGTTCCGTTTGAGACGTTAGCGAGCACTAAGATTGGGTTCGCAATCCGAGTGTTCGGCCTTCAAGTGAAGAAAAGGGTCTCACAAGTTTGTATTGAACTTATTCGATAGCAACTACTTTGGCAAAATGTCGCCAGAAGCATACATACAGTTTTTATACGTTTCAATGGAGTAGCAAGTAAGAGGTTCTAGTCGGGAGCTTCCGACTAGGGGATACCCTGAACCCTTTTCTTCCAACAGGCGATAGGTATAAAATGAAAGATACTTGATTTATATATACTATTCTAGAAGCTACATGTCAAGTTTGGTGATTTCAGCTCTTATTATTTGCCGAAATTGCTCAAAAAACAATCCTGTTGTCGATATCGATTTTTATCGATAACTAGGAAACGGGGCAAGTTATCGAATATCGGAAACAAACTCGATCTGCGCGGGGACTAGGAGGACCTTCAGCTAAGTTTCAAGTTTCTAGCTCTTATAGGTTCTTAGATCCTTGCGTTCATACATACGGACAGACGGACATGGCTAGATCGACTCGGCTGTTAATGCTGATCAAGAATATATATACTTTATGGGGTCGGAGGTGCTTCCTTCTGCCTGTTACATACATTTGC